ATATAATATATCATTATGTATCATGTATGTTTCATTATGTGTATGTATTATATATATGTTTATATATGTTTATTATTATACATGTAATTAAGTTATATGTACATTTTATTTCTAAACATCTTAAATTAAAAAAATATTAATTTTCACATTTTTCTTTTCAGAACTAAATTATGATTAAAATTTTGTAATAAATCTATAGATACAATTATATAAAAATTACAGAAATTGCAATGAACATTTCATGCCATCAATGTTCTTAAACAATTTGAGAAATAGACTTCGACTGCATGTAATTCCAACACTAAATTTTTCAGTAAATGTAGAATAAAAAATTATCTGTAGCTTTATTTAATTCTGTGCATTAATGCAATAAATTTTTATAATAATATTTCTATCTATCTGATAATACATAAATCTTTATATTGTAATATATATAATATATGCTTATATTATATGCATGTAAAATATAAAATATATGTACATAAATTGTTATATTGTAAATCTTTATATTGTAATATATATAATATATGCTTATATTATATGCATATAAAATATAAAATATATGTAATTTACTTTTGAATAGTAAAATATAATGAAGAATGAATCATTAAAATATTTGTTGTTTTATTATAATATATATTTAATTTTAAGATATTAATATTTTAATATTTCTAATTTTACGATGTTTATCTTTTGAAATTGACGCTTTTTCCAATCAAGACTATCGCAACAGGTCACGTGTTTCGCAAACCTCACATCAAAGATGCCAACGGGTGACACCCGTTTGACCACGTCCCAATTGACCACTAGCCACTCACAGGGGCCAGCGTTTAAAATTTTTCATTGTTCAAGCGCTATGAGTGGCTAGTGGTCAATCGGGACGTGGTCAAACGAGTGTTATCCGGTACCGACGCTTACTGTCGTAATTAGTTAATTGTGGCTCGAATCACTTGTATTTTTATCTACTAATAAATTTATTAGCTAATGTAATAAATTTGTAGCTAATGCAACTACAGTTTTATTGCTATCCATTATTGTATATAAAGATTAGATGTTAAAGGCTTAAATCACCGGGACTTAGTCGAGAAAGTCCCGTTTGATCACGTTACAATTGGACACAGCCATTTACAGCGACCGATGCCTGGAGATTTTCTACTGAATCAACCAATCAAATAATTTTATTTTAAATTGGTCAATCGGCAATATGGACAATCGGGCGTCACCCGACTTAGTCCCGGTCTACAATAAGTGATTTAAGCCCTTAAGCCATAAGAAATTGACCAATCGCAGTCAATTATTCTTCTACTCTTCGACTATGATTCCATCCATTTCTTATGGCTTAGGCTTAAATCATCTATTGTAAATCAGGACTTAGGTAGCGTCACTTAGGTGAAAAGTCTTCATGTGGACTCAAATGCCTAGTAAATTTTATAAGGCCAATGGTTAGCGTGAGTTTTCGCGCTACCTGTTATGAAAGCTCGACGGGTGACACAAAAACACGTGTCTCTTGGTTGAGTTTGGAGTAGTCACGTTCTGTTTTTATCATTAAATTGTTCGCTCGTGTATATACATACGGAAAATCGTCGGTGCTGTGCGGAAGGACAGAAAAGCGGGCGCATTCAGAACGTCTTACGGGACGCGTTTATGTACGCACTCTCGCGTTTGCACGCGCGAGTCAGAGGGAAAGCGGGCCGCGAGACAGTGCGGCGCGGCGTGGCGCGGCGCGGGGCGGCCATTTTATGTTAGTATGACGTAAAGACTGGGTGTAGCTTAGCGTTCTTATTGTCGACTGTGCGCGAGGAAAAAACTAACGGATCGGTGTTTGGTAAGTGCCCGATGTTGGCTAATCGCGAACGGTTAAACGTACGCGGCACTCGAGCGCGAGTGATGTGAACTAATTTCGTCAGAGCGATCGCTTTCCCGCGAATAATCGTGTAGCGACGCGTGGAAGCTAGGAGCGCTCGGAAGCGCTGGGCAGCCTCGAGCGAGCGGTCGAGGTGAGAGGGGAAAGTGTGCGAACGAAAGAACGGGCGAGCAAAACGAACTTGACGAACCAGCGAAATAGCGAGCGAACGAGCGAACGAAAAGAAACGAAACGAGTCGAGTCGAGTCGGATCGTGTCTAATCGAGTCGAATCTGGCTAGCCTAGCCTAGCCTAGCCTAGTCTAGTCTAGTCTAGTCTAGTCTAGTCTAGCTAGGGAGTTAGCGAATTCGCGAGTTTGTGAGCGAGCGAAAAGTGAAAGTGCGTTTGCCGCGGCGGTGCGTCCGTAGCAGCGCGTGCGAACATGAGCGAGGAAAGTAATCCACGTACGCTGTACGTGGGCAATCTGGACACCACCGTGTCCGAGGACCTTTTGTGCGCGCTCTTTTCGCAGATCGGCGCGGTCAAAGGATGCAAGATTATCCGAGAACCCGGAAATGATCCGTACGCTTTCGTCGAGTTCACGAACCATCAGTGCGCGGCCACGGCATTGGCCGCCATGAACAAGCGCTCCTTCCTGGACAAGGAAATGAAGGTTAATTGGGCGACCAGTCCGGGTAATCAACCCAAACTCGACACTAGCAATCATCATCATATATTCGTGGGCGATCTCTCGCCAGAAATCGAGACTCAGACTCTCAAAGAGGCGTTTGCGCCCTTTGGCGAGATCAGCAATTGCAGGATCGTCCGCGACCCACAAACGCTCAAAAGTAAGGGCTACGCATTCGTATCGTTCGTCAAAAAGTCCGAGGCCGAGGCGGCGATCAACGCGATGAACGGCCAATGGCTCGGCTCGCGCAGTATCAGGACCAATTGGTCCACCAGAAAACCACCGCCACCGAGGTCCGAGAGACCGCGGCACTCGAACAATAGTAAACCCAATTATGAGGAGGTATGTAATCAGTTGCGGACGATTGTCTCTCGAGTGATTACGAGAATAAAGTGACTTGACTTTGTCAGGATCTTTACCGTTACTTTGATAGAATATGTCATTTGGCAATGCAATTGCTCCGATTAAAATAGCTTGCGTAGGAACTCTTGAATCATTAAATTTTAGTTTATGATGGGGGGTTTTTTATGTAACGTGTAAACATTGACATAAATTGGATTTGGAGAAAAAAAACTGTAGAAATATAGCTACTTTTAGCGATAACGGCAAAGATCTCTTACATAGGAAGTTATCTGGGATGAGAGAAAGCGAGAAGATCCATTTATCTGCACCTCGATCAACAAGTTGATGAGTTTTGCATATAGGTTTATTATGCACTAAAAATTAATCATTGCTTCCAACAGGTATATAACCAAAGTAGTCCAACCAACTGCACTGTATATTGTGGCGGTTTTACGAACGGCATTACGGATGAATTGATAAAGAAAACGTTTTCTCCTTTTGGCACCATTCAAGATATAAGAGTATTTAAAGACAAAGGATATGCTTTTATCAAGTTTACAACTAAGGAAGCTGCGACACATGCTATCGAATCAACACATAATACTGAAATTAATGGTAGTATTGTTAAATGCTTTTGGGGAAAAGAAAATGGCGATCCAAATAGTGTAGGTCCTAATGCCAATCACCAAGCTCAACAGGTTTGTGTTTAGGTTATTTATAAGAGATGCATATTGCATGAGGAAGCATTTACTCTTCTCTCATTCTATTTTCATTTTCTATTTGTCTCTTTATCTTCATCTCAAATCTATGTACGTTGCTTTTTCTCTTATATATCTATGAATATCAAATTAAAATCTACATATTTGTATCATTTGTTTTATATATAAAAACAACATTGTGTAGATGTAAATATTATCTTATAGGTGACAGCGGGAGCGGGACAATACCCATATGGTTATGGTCAACAGATGAGTTACTGGTATCCACAGGGCTATCCACAGATGCAGGGACAGTTTTTGCAACCTGCTCAATACTACGGTCAATATTATGGACAACAAGCTCAATATATGAACAGCATGAGGATGCCCACTCCAGGTGCAGGAGCTTGGCAACCAACGCAAGCCACCGCAGCACCCCCAACACCGAGTGCGCCCTTGCCACCAGGTCAACAGCCCACTATGGTAACATATACCATGCCACACCAGTATCCTACGCAATGAAACTGATCATTGTCCGGCTAATTGTTACATACGACATAATTGTCCCATGGGGTTATTGCGAAAATTGTTCCGATATATACCTATTCCAACATATACAATTGGGTTTTCGATAATGTGACAATGTAGGATAATCCATTTTACAATTAAGAGATATGATTTCATATTTGAAAGAAACTTTCACAATAGAAGAGAAAAGGAAAATAAATGAGAAAAGAAAGGACATAGGGATTCCTTCTTTCTTTTTTTATACCCTTGATTTGTTCACGAGTTGGAAAGCATTATTGTTCTGTCATGGATATATATAACGTTATATCAAGAGATTTAATGCAATAACGACACTTTGCAATGACGTTTGTATTGGCAATGATTAAATTATGATATGCATTTAGTACTAGGATTTGTTCAACGTTGTACCAGGTATATCTCTGAACTTTTCCTCGTGGACCCCGAAACTTAAACGAGCCCCGCATATCCATTGTGCTGCGCAAGTGACGTATGTATGCGGCGATTTTTGCGTTGTTGATACCTTTTTAATATTTTTGCCACTGACACCTTGACATTCTTACTCCTTTAATCTTTGATCATCGATGAACAATATGCGCGGTAAATATGTTCATTTAAGGTAAATGCAGAGAGAGCTGCTGATGTTGGACATAGTTAATAGGAAGAACATAGTTAGAGAAGCGATTAGTTGGACACGGCGCCTGTGATGTAGCTAGATTTTTGGACGCGTGTATGCCAGAGTATGCGGGGCTCTTTAACAAATAAAATTCTGCGAGAGTCGAATAACGAGTTACAATTTTATCTCGTTGTGTGATATTTATCGTCGGTGGTTAATGTATAAAATTTTGCTATGATTAACTTCAGAAAAAGAGTAGAAAAGAGGTAATAGAGAGAGAGAGAGAGAGAGAGAGAGAGAGAGAGAGAGAGAGT